CGGGCAATTATCGACTCTCCCATGTACCTTCATCTTAAATGAAAACTTTTCAAAAGTTGGTGATGTTACTCCGAAAATGCGGTGCTTATCATTGTGAGATGAGGAGGGGGAGCAACTTTAAGGGACGTGAACGGGAGGATCAATAACTTGAACTTCCACGACTGTTCGATATCTTTTTAAACATCATACTCGCTGTAGGTTCACCAGCCTCTCCCTTCATTCATTCTCTCTCCCTCTCTCCCCTCGTATCCCCTTCTATCTCTTTCTTTCCTTCTCCCTAAGTCCATCCCTCCTTCTCTCTCCCTCTACCTCCGTCCTTCTCTGTGTCTCATATACCAAAAGACATTATAAACATTAATCATTTCCTAGAAATTGGTCTGGGCGGACGTCCAAGCAAGCAGACCCTCCGAAGACAGACTGGGAGTGTGCCAATGTTCGCAGGACGAGAACTGGGGAGACACGCCGATTCACGCCTCAGCTGGAGATCACTAACACTGTGGGTGAAAGGAAGGTGCTGGCGCTCCATTGACATCGTGGTCGCACGCAGTACAAACAGTATAGCAGTACAGGGCATAGCTCCGCGTCCCCCTACCGCCAGCAATTTTAAGCAATTTAAGAATCAAACAAGCGTGAAAATAATCAGTCGGGTGATCATAATTATATACATCCCATTAACGGCTTGCGCATAACATGACACGGGGATAAGAATGAGCAGAAGGTGCGAAGAGCGCGGGATGTTTAGCTGGTCCCGCCGCTAAGGTCCATGTCCATCACCTCGGCAATCTTCCCTGGGGAATGTGCAATAGCGCAGGGCAAGGGCCCCGTAAGTAGGTACTCAATGTGCTTCCCCAAAGCCTGTCAGATGGTCCAGTAGCACCAGCAAAGGATTAGTTTTGGCGAATGTGGAAACAAAGTTCAGAATGAGTTTCCCATAAAATATTTAATAAGCATGATTTACGGGCTTATGAATTATCCCTTTTCTGGTGCTGATCAGATTCTATTTTGCTTGTACACAGGGCGGCCGAGCAGTTTGCTTTCATTTAGGGGTCCTTTATATAATTAATTTCCAAAGACAATTCCTTCTGCAAATACCATTAAATCCCTACATATGTACCATATCTATGAAGACTGCTTCACCCTTCCAGGTTCGACGTTTCAAAGTTCTCTGTCTCGGAGGAATTCTTACAGGCT